CATACACACACATAATTTAATAGATACAATTTATTTAAATAAAGACTGTTTTTAAATAAACAGTATTAATTACATTTACTGTTCTCAATATATATGTATGTGCATATATATATATATATATATATATATATATATATATCTGGCGTGTGTATATTAGAATATTTTTATATATATATTATATTATTTATTCTATTTTTCTTGTACGCGTGTTTTCTCATAAAACATTTACAAATGATTTGTAGAAGTGTTGCTGACATGGTACAGCATTTTATTGCACATGAAGGGGATGCTATTTTGAACATGTTAAATAGTTTGTTAATCATCACAAACCATGCTGGCACTTCGATGTGGTATATTGGCTAACAAGCTTGTATAACTAGATCGATTACGACTGAATAGTGAGTTCGATCCTCACTGGCTGTCCCATACTTTCGGCCTCATGTCACGTCTACGATAGGCTTAGCAAATCGGCATAAGAATTCATTCATGTCGTTTTGATGTGACAATACTTATAAATTTTCTACTGTAATTTACGTTTGTTAAATAGAATTGAAAAGATGAAAAAAAAAATGGAGTTACTTTTAGCGCAATCGATCAGTCAAGTTCCGTACGTGATACAGAATTGGGAGATCTTGTTTCTTTCGATTCATCACAGACGAATCAGAAGATTTTTCCGAAGGTTGTTGCCGTTTCTTTCTGTGGTAGACTTGTTGCCATCCAAGACTATACAACCGTATAAGTGAATGTAAAGAACGCGACCGGATATATATATATATATATATATATATATATATATATATATATATATATATATATATATATATATATATAATATATAGAAAATTGGAAAAGAACTGGTTAGGTAAATAATCCAAAGTTCCGTAGTATTTTAGTTATTATTTTTAAAAATACTGCTCGATACAAAAAGTAGAGCATAAATATAATTATTTATTTAAAATATGATTCCAACTCGCATATACAGTGTAACACGGGTATAAGAGAGTTGTCGGGACCGGAAACGAAGTCTCTTATATCCGGGTTTCTCTTATATCCAGGTTTGGTCTATTTTGTTTACATTAACATAGGCTCTAATTTGGGATCAGAAAAAATATCTCTTATATCCGGGTTTCTCTTATATCAGGTTACACTATATATATATATATATATATATATATATATATATATATATGTATATATATATATATATGTATATATATATGTGTGTGTGTATATATAACTATGAACCTAAAGAGACAGGCAAACCTAAACAATCATGGCCACGTGACTAAAAAACAAACAAACAAATAAAACAGTAACTGAACAACCATTTAATTCATATTTATTCAATAGGAAAATCAATAACAAAAAAATGTTACCTCTTTGGCCAGTGTACCCTGACGATCGTGGTAGGTGAAACCTAGGTAGGTTTGCCTGTCTCTTAAGGTTCATAGATTTGCACTACTTAGTGAATTGAAAACTTTACTTAGTTACTTTTGCTTTACTGGTTTTGGATGTTTTCTTTCTTTGGACTCTGAGCTTGAATTCTGGACGATTGTTTTCGCCTCAATGTCATGTTCTTAGTTCTTTCTTTTTTTTTGTCCCTTATTTTCCCTTGAGTATTCGTTTGTCCACTTACAAGCCAAAACACCCAAGGTTTTTCCAGACGAGTCTAATTACTTATATATATATATATATATATATATATATATATATATATATATATATATATATTTTTTACTACGTTAATAAATAAATAAATAAAATAAGAAACAAAAAAAATAAAACGAGCAATATAATTTGACCCAAATAAATAAACAAAGCGACTTCCGGTAAAAAATAACCGCCATAATAGAATACCCACAATGCACCACTAACCCGTATATATATAAATAGCCGAAAAAAATAACAGCATATGTGGCCTGACGATTGCATATAGCATGAAACAGACTGTCGCCTCTAAGTGTTGACTTCTATGTTCACTTTTATATTTATATATATATATATATATATATATATATATATATATATATAGAGAGAGAGAGAGAGAGATAGATAGATAGATAGATAGATAGATAGATATGGGGGTGGGCGTGTCCGATTGATAAATTGTCGTCTAAATGACGCAATAAATGAAATTATTACTGCCATTTCAGTTAAGAATTCGTCTATTATTACAGGTTATTAATACAGGTGTAGATATGTACATTATAAAAGTCAAAAAACAATTTAACTTTTTGTTGGGTAACCGTTTGCTTTAATAATGGCCTTAATTCTTTGTGGCATGCTGTAGACAAAATTCTTTTGTAAGACGAAGTTCTTCGCCAGATTCCTCCAGGAGTTTTTTTTTTTAATTCGTGATCATCTTCTATGTTAATTATTTTTATCTTTTCAATTCTATGTATTACGGGCACGCTTGTCCATTATCGCCTAAAGGTTTTCAATTGAGTTAAGGTCATGACTCACCAAATAATTTACCATATATATATATAATCTGTCTTGGTACAAATACAAAAATCGACTTTCTATGGTTGCGTCCATTTTTGGCCTCGTACTGTATATATCCGGTTTTCATCAAAGTTAAAGGTAAAAGTTGGCCGGTTTTATACCAAATTTTAAACATAAGTTTGCCAGCATCCAACTAGAATGTGGCCTCTTTGATAACGGCCTTAATTCTTCGTGGCATGCTATAGATTAAATTCTTTAGTAATCAACGTTCTTCGCCAGATTCCTCCAGCATTTGTTTAATTCGCGAAAAAGCTATAATTCTGTGTTAACATTCCTATTACGGGCACGATTGTCTATTATCGCCAAAAGGTTTTCAGTTGAGTTGAGGTCATGACTCACTTACTAAAGAATTTAGCCAGTATATATATGTATACCTGTATTAATACCCTGTATTAATAAACGAATTCAATTACTTACATGTCATTTTTGCCTCGTACTGTATATATATATATATATATATATATATATATATATATATATATATATATATATATTACTTCACAATTTCCTCTGTTTAATAAAAACACTGAGCGCTCTTCTGTGAGTCAGATTTAACATATTTCATATTCTATGTTGTGTTAATAGGACTCGCCTGGATTATACCAACGGATTACTACACACACACACACACACACACACACACATATATATATATATATATATATATATATATATATATATATATATTGTTAATAGGTCTCGCCTAGATTATATCAACATGCGCCGATGCCTTCGGAGTAAAGTCTTTGACTGATGACAAATCGGTCGATTTTCGATCCCGGTTTGATGCAATCGATGTCCAGACACACTGATGAGCTGAGGAAACAATATTGTTTGCATATATATATATATATATATATATATATATATATATATATATATATATATATATATATTAATAGTAGTAATCTTATAAGTATAAGAAATTATACTCGTTCGGAAAAACTTCGGCGTCTTGATTTGCAAATAATCAAATCAATACCAAAGGGGGAAAAAAGGTACAAAAAAAGAAAGAACCAAGAACATGGACGTTAACCGAAAATAATCGTCTAGCATGCAAGTCCAAAGTCCAAAGAAATAAAACACAATACGAGTACCCAAAATAAGTAAATAAAGTGCTCAATACAATAAGTAAAGCAGACCTAGTTAAACCTAGAGAGCCAGACAAACCTACGAAGGTTTCACCTAAACGGATCGTCAGTGAAGGACGATCTTTAAGTTTAACTATATATATATATATATATATATCCACAAATATATATATTACACTTTTTTTTTTTTACAAATATTTTTACAGGACTAAAAATATGTTAAATTCTAGCAATGGCTGATTATTAGATATATTTTAATCCCTCTGGCACACAATTCTTTAAATCAATTCCACCCAAGCAAGGAATTAAAGTCACAAGCTGTTACTGGGTTTGGAAGAATTAAAGAACAGAAACACGATTAAGGAGCGCGAACTATAGAAGTGAAAACAGGAAGAAATCAGTAGAAAGCGATTAACTTTTCATTTAAATTTTTGAAGATCAAATTTGGCTGGACGAATGGAATCGGAAGATAATTCTACAAGGGAGAAATTCGAGAAAGGAAACTGTTAGAACTGAGCTTACGGTTACATTTAACCATCATTTGGGAGAACACATCTGTTATGGCCCAAGATAGGGCCAAAGAAGAACAAAACGAACCACAAGAGAAGAAATAACGAAGGTATATTACATGAAATAATAATACAAGATGTGGAAGGTGTTAGTATGACTGTCACTCTGGTTTGGAGTGAACTACTATCGGCTCGACTCGATTCGATATTTACTTGCCAACCCCCACGAGGAAAAGATGTGGCACAAGGCCGAGTTAACGTGGGTTTTCCGAGCCCGTAGGCTCGGCCATAAAATGCTCGTAGAATCCGTATAAACGGGATCGGGTTGGTCTCCCCGAACGAGACTCTACCCTTCGGCGGAGCGTCGTCCGGGTTCCTCTCTGCTCAGAGGCAGAGAGTTCGACCGTCAAGCCGAGAAGCTCGGCTTGATTCGGTATCTAGCCACCCACCACGAGGGTTGCATATGGCACAAGGCCGAGTTTAACGTGGGTTTCCCGAGCCCGTAGGCTCGGCCAAAAAATGCCCGTATAAACCGTATAAACAGGATCGGGTTGGTCAACCTCCCCGAACGAGACTCTGCCCTTCGGCGGAGCCTCGTCCGGGTTCCTCTCTGTTCAGTAGCAGAGAGTTCGACCGACAAGCCGAGAAGCTCGACTCGATTCGGTATTTAGCCACCCTTCACGAGGGTTGCATGTGGCACAAGGCCGAGTTTAACGTGGGTTTCCCGACGCAGAGACAGGAACGACCAGAAGCCGCCGGTTACCGATGCAGACGCTCCTTGGATTTTCACCAGAGCCCTTGTTAGCCGGCGTGTGTGTCAGACCTGTCCGCCTTGGGTGGCCCTACCAGGAACGAAGTTCCGGGCGACTGTGAGGTAAGGGTTGGACTTTGGGGGCTTACAGTACCAGGTGTTCCCAAGCGGTCCCCCATCTAAGTACTGACCTGGCTCGCTGATGCTTAACTTCGGTGATCGAACGAGAACCGGTGTTTCAGCGTGATTTGACCGTAAGCAGGTTAATTGGCTTACTGACTTCCCTCATCTCTCTTGCGCTCAAATTTCCTCGTGAGGGTCAAATTACTCAGGTACCCCTTCCTCATTATGGGTCCGGGTAATTTCCGCTGCCATTTCCCGATTCTGTATATAGGCATTCGTTAACATTTGCACAGGTTAAACCCCTTGAACTTTTGTTTTTGTTTAGTGATATACCAAACTCTATGGTTTATTTAATGACGAAATCTAAATATTTGGTACGCAATTTTATTTATTTCTTGATATAATAATGATATAATGATACAAGGCTTACTAATTAACCCATAGCTGGAGGGGAGAAGAATTAGATTTACATGTTTCCCAAGGGTATTTGCACTTAAGTGAACATAACAAACCCAAGTGGAATTGGAACTCGGCCCACCAATTAACAATACCGAACCATTATACATAGCACCACCCGCACATTCAAGATTTCGGTAGATGGCATCTCCAAGCAATCATTCATGCAGGCTCGACGATTCTTAACTTGGGTGATTGTACGGGAACCGGTGTTTCCCCGTGATATGGGCGTCAATTCCTGTATTTTGTATGTCATTTCGTGTGTATATATATATATATATATATATATATAACAGTAAGATATATAATCCGGTGTTCTTATTGATATTTTTATTTACAAAATAGTGCTCAATGTAAATTTACAGAGCATAAATATTATAAATTAACTGATTTAAAATATGGTTTCTTCGCTACACAGGAATTACCATGTTTCAAAAACCGAAGGTAAAAACTTCAAATTTAATTATAGAATTAAATTAAAAGCACTAGTTCTGCTGTATCTTCAAGCGAATTTTGGAATAACTTACTATTTATTAGTTACTAAGATTTCTCGAATATACAAGGCGGTAAATGTAATACAAATACTGTTTAATTAAATAAACAGGGCATTTATTCAAATATGTGTTTCCATCTGAAATAACGCTTAAACAAAAAATTAGTATATATATATATATATATATATATATACACACACACGGTGATTGAAAAGCAAATCCCTATTTTATGAAAGATGGACTATCTCATCTACCTATATATTATACATAAAATAGGAGTTATTTTCAATCATATATATATATATATATATATATATATATATATATATATATATCAGGTCATCCCATAAGTTCTGTCCGAATTTTTGAATAAAGAAAACAAGTGACCAAATTTTACAATTTAATTACAGATTCAATCAACAATGTATTTTCCCTGATTATCTATGACTTCCTTCCATCTATTAACAAGCTTACTAATTCCATTACTGTAAAATTCTTTTGGCTTTGATTCGAAGAACTCACAAATGTCATTTTAACCTTTTCGTGTGTTACAAAAGCTGTTTCTTCCAAATGATTCTGTAAGCTACAAAACAAATGGTTGTCTGAAGTAGCACGATCAGGAAAATAAGGTGGATGAGGAATTTTCTCCCAACCAAGTTCTTCGATCTTTTGTGACGTCATTCTTGCTGTGTGGGGTCACGCATTTTCCTGATGAAACATCACCTCTTTTCGATTCACTTGAGCGGGTCTTTTTTTCTCAAAGCTTGGTTCAAACGCTCTAATTGCTGACAGTATATTTGAGCATTAATTGTTGCCTTAGGTGGTAAGAATTCAAAGTGGATTATTCTTTGGCGATCCCACCAGATTAAAAGAACCTTTTGCCCATGAAGTTCCCTTCTCGGCTGTGGCTGGGGTCCTTCCCCTTTACCAAACCACTGTCTACGATGATTAACATTTCAATAAAAGATCCATTTTTCTTCGCCAGTCACAAGTCTATCCAAAAAAGGTGAAACAAGTTGGCGAGAATGGAGAGAAGAGCAGATGTCAACTCGTGATTTGACGTTGTTTTCAGACAATTCATGAGGTACCCATTTTCCAAGTTTAGGAACTTTTCCAAGTTGTTGAAGATGACGATGAACAGTTGTATGGTTTGAACTGAGAACCAATGCCAATTCCTCAACTAATAAAGCATGATTTTCTTCATACTGCTTCAAGAAGCTTTTCATCAAACTCAACTGGACGTCAGGTTCGATCTTCATCTTCAAGGGGTGAAATCTCCACCTCTGAATTTTGCAAACCATCTTCTGCAAGTTCTTTCATTCACACATTCCCTCTCCATAAACTGAGTGAATGTTTCTAGCCGCTTCGGCTGCTGAGTTTCCTTTCTTGAACTCATAAAGCATTATGTGCCTCAAATGATTCTTGTGTACTTCCGTTTAGCAGGGTTTTAATCAAACAACATTTAATTTTATTGTTCTCTGAAATAAAATTGATCAGTTTAAATGCATCTAAACATAAAAAATAATGTTCAGCTCCATTAGACATTATAAAATACTCTTTAAATTTCGTTTATTTTAGCAAAAAAAAGTTAATTCGGACAGAACTTATGGGATGACCTGGTATATATATATATATATATATATATATATATATATATATATATATATATATATATATTGAGAGAGAGAGAGATGGAGGAGAGAGTGTGAATAAACAAATGTTAAGTTCAACTGAGAGATTTGCTTGCATCGGTAACTCTAGATGTACGTAGAGTCAGAAAAACTGTTACCATATATATATATATATATATATGTGTGTGTGTGTGTGTGTGTGTGTGTGTGTGTGTGTGCGTGCGTGCGTGTGACTTTAGTACCTTAAACGTTACATTTAGTGGATACCCATATTGAAATAAACACTTGGAAAAACTGAATAAAAAACATGTCCCCCACCCGGCAGGATTCGAACCTGCCCCTCTTTTCTAGTTCCACGTTCCATGCCTCTTCCGGATATCTCATTATCAATCATCTCCCTTCCAATTCAACTCGCCAAGTTTTTGTTCCCTTCTGCCGTGGCCAGGTATTGAACTCACAAGTCTATGGGTCAAGTCACCTGATTCAATCAACGCTTTTATCCACCGAGCAATGTGCCCTTGAGGACAGATACATTTATTACTTCAAACGCTATTTTTTAGTAGATACTCGTATTTGAATAGACGCCCCGTTTATTTTGAACAGTATTTATTTTTTGTCTCTCCGACAGGGTTTGACATTGAATTCCCCTTTGTGGAGAATGCTGTCAGATCCGGCCCGCTTTAAACCATTAGGCTACAGAGTGCTTTCACAGCTCAGCAACGTTCGATTTACCTCTTTTTAATCTATCCTAAACGGAAACAAGTCACCTTCTTAGAAATAGTTAATGGATTTATTTTTAATAATACATTTTTTTTTATTACAGTGGAACTTCGGTTCACGAATTTACTTCGTTTTTGAACCGAGATGTAACCCGAGATGTTCGTAAACTGAAACTATTTTTCCAATAGGAATCAATGTAAAATGGATTAATCCGTTCCTGGTCCCAAGATGATTGCTTATTTAAACTTTAACAACAGTACTTTATACACAAAACTAATGAAAATCATTAAATCTAAGAATATAAATAAACCCAATACTAAAGAGATAAAATACAGACAAACATTTTAATTTGGCCATACCTGCATGTAGGAGATTTTATGCCGTAAGTGGAAGGGTACGGAAAGAGATGGTATTGTTTGGAAAAGGGAAGGAAAGACATGATTGTCTTTTTATTTATAAGAATAGTATAGATTGTTGCTTTTGCCATATGAAACTGAGTAGGAAGAGACAATATCATCAACAATTGTTTTTCTCTGAGTTTTTCTTTTTCCCTTTACCATTATCACTGCTAGCTTTCTTTGGGGCCATGACTGAGGATTAAGGAAGAGAAAAAAGTCACAGTAGAATAAAATTAAAAAAGCAAAAAGCACAGCACACCAATGTATACAACATATGGCGGTATTCTAAGAAATGATTCCCGGTTCGGCAATATTTTGTGTCATAATCTATCTATCTATCTATCTATCTATCTATCTATCTATCTATCTATCTATCTATCTATCACAGTCTGTTCATTATCTATCTATCTATCTATCTATCTATCTATCTATCACTTTCATTATCTATCTGTTTATCTATGTCTCAAACTTCCCTTATCTATCTATCTATCTATCTATCTATCTATCTCAGTCTGTTCATTATCTAAATATCTATCTCTTTCATTTTCTATCTGTGTTTCAGTCTTTCATTATGTAGCTATCTAAAGCTATCTACAAGTCAGACTTGGCGATGTTACTTTGGCAATAAAGATCTATTTGATTGAATATCCGTGATTCTTGAATATAACGTAAAAAACATCAACTTTTATTCGTAACCTCAATCCCGATTTACAACACATTAGGAAATTTGAAAAATATGATCATAATTTGAATGAATGTGTGTGGGTGTGAGGTGAATTTAGGCAGCAAGAATTCTTTTAAACAAGAATTGGTAAACAACATCGACATATTGTTTCCAACACCCGAAGTTTCTTTTATCTCAGAAATAAAGTTCATTTTTTTGGTGGGCAAGGAGGGGCGCGAGTACAGAATTATGAAAAGTTTTTGATTTCAAGCTACTTAATGGCGACATCATTTACAACAATCGCACTGAAATTTTGTTTCTATACACGCTTATATATATATATATATATATATGTGTGTGTGTGTGTGTGTGTGTGTGTGTGTGTGTGTGAAAAGTGTGTATAAATAAATATAAATAAATAAATATATATATATATATATATATATATATATATATATATATATATATAATTATTTATATATTAGATGCCATCAGAAAGCGCTCAATATCAGAGATAGAGCTACCATATTTGGTTGGATAGATGTGAGTTTGTGACCCTGGGTTTCACGCTTTAGCGATCGTCAGACTTGTCACATCTATCCAACCAAATATATATATATATATATATATATATATATATATATATATATACAAGTATATGATTGGTGTATACGGAATAAATTCCAATAACCAACAATTACTATTCTTAAAAGAGTGCTCAATACAGAGTAGAGCGAATATAAAAATAGCCATTTTGATTCAACACATTTGG